ACACACACACACACACACACACACACACACACACACACACACACACACACACACACAGAGAGAATGGGGTGGTGGCAGTTGCAGCTAGAATGAAATCGACGGGGGCGTGAGCTAAAATAAAGCATCCATTTGATGACTAGACTTCATGTAAGTCCGCATTCATCACCCCAACCGCACCATGCGCATCTAACTCACCACCACCGCCGTTGCGACGGCACCTGACCCCACTCCCTGACGTCCCCCTGTCGCACTCGCACTCGAAGCTGCCCTCTACGTTGGTGCAGGTGGCGCGCTCGTCGCAGTTGTGTTCGCCGGCGATGCATTCGTCCAGGTCTGAAAAGGACCGAGGTGTAGTTGTGTGAGCCACACAGCAAGGGAGCCCCACCATACTACTAACTCATGAGGGGGGCGTTGTCAGAAACATTATAAATAGTTATGATTATCATGAAAGAGAGAGAGAGAGAGAGAGAGCGCGCGCGCGAGAGAGAGAAAGAGAAATAGATCAAGTTGGAGAACGAAAGAGAGAGAGAGAGAGAGAGAGAGAAAGAGAAAGAGAGAAAGAAGGGGACAGTGTGAGAGAGTGGGTGAGAGAGAGAGAGAGAGAGAGAGAGAGAGAGAGAGAGGATAAGAGATAAAGAAGAAGTAAGAAGTAATAGTGGACATCAATAGGTTAGCTTTCATAATTCTCCCATAACATTCCCCTTCGCTGGTGTTTGCGCCCAAACCCCACCACCGTCCTCGTTCATATACCTCCGTTACAGGTGTGTAGCTTACCTACGCAGGTCGTACCGTCCCCCGTGTATCCGTTATAGCACTCGCACTGGAAGCTGCCGCGCGTGTTCGAGCACGTGGCCGCGAAGTTGCAGTCGTCCTCGTGTTCTATGCACTCGTCTATGTCTGTGGGCAGCGGATAGACATATAACGGGTGGGTTAAGGTTAAGGTTAGGGATAGGGTTAGGGTTAGGGTTAGCCAGTAGTTATAACAGCGGACGCACGCACGTTCTCATACATGCCCGTAACTGCACTCCTGTGCGAATACGCACACACACACGCGCACGCGTACGCACGCATACGTACACATACACGTACGCACACCACACACGCACACACGTACACACACACACACGCACACACGTACACACACACACACGCACACATGTACGCACACACACACGCACATACGTACGCACACACACGTACGCACGTACGCACACACACGCACACACACGCACACACGTACGCACACACACGCAGGCAGGTACGCACACACACGTACCGGCACACGCAGGCATCTACGCGCACCCACACGGTATTGAGAGAACTTATCCGTGAGTTTGCGCACAGCGGTGTTTGTGTGGTGAGATTGTGTGTCGCAGCTGAGTATTTGAGCGCGTAATGAATGTATGAATGAGTATATGAATGTACAATCTTGTTAATTTGCCATCATTTTTATCATTGGGTCTACCCGGGTGCCTGTGCGCACATACACGCAGAGAGCGATCCCGTTTATAGAGTATAGGTTGTCTATAAGAAAGCATTCTGCTCTAATACTTGCCGCTGCACTCTCCACCGGCGAACCTCATGCCTTGGCCGCAGCCACAAGCGTAGCTGCCGACCATGTTGAAACATCGGCTCTCCCGCGGACACAGGTTGCGCGCGCACTCGTCCACGTCTGAAACAATGTGCATGGCCGCCATGTTGCTAAAGACAGTAGCGCGGCTGCGCGGGAAACACGACTAGAAGGTAATGTATCACCTCCCCCCCCCCTGCACTGGATAGAAGTGTTATCACGAGCACGTGAACATAGAGAAAAAACACAACATAAATATGAAGACCGTTGATGATGTACGCTTGATAATGTGACGATTCGATCGTGCGTGCGTTAGGGTATAATTTATATAATATATAACCTATACCGAATAATTTTCGATACTGATTTAAGTTAACCTTTTCCTACTAATTAATTTAATTAATTTAAAATACAACCCTTCAGCTGCTACGCAAACACAAGCGAACCGCGACGTTAATTGCACGTACCTGAGCAGGTGAGGCCGTCACCTGAGTAGCCATCGGGACATATACACCTGAAGCTTCCCTCCGTGTTTCTACACCTGGCCCGCAGGTCGCACGGAAAGTCCGGGTACTGGCATTCGTCCACGTCTGTAGAATCCGCAGTGAATGGCGAGAGAGATGTGTGAATCGTACGGTATATCAGCGAGTTACGATATAATGTAGACAAGCCTCGAGTGAATATCGGCGTACTAACTTTCAGAAACCAATTCGGATATATGCGCTGCTGGCAGATAGGAATTTAATACACGTTTCTGTTTCGTCTACATTTCGTTAACATATATTTATCGATTTATTATTTATCATTATTGAGTGTACGGGTCAGGATTAGCATTTTTCTTATAGCGATTGACTTCCAATTTTTATCTCTACATGTGATAAACTAAAGCAGGGATATATCCATGGGTTTTCACTAGCAGACCAGCCACGCGATCATATATTCATATCAGCATGCCCGGGACGCACGAATACGGTGTTGATGGTGATGCTGACGTTGATTGGTGAATGGCTAAAAAAATTCGGACAAGCCGCATGCTGGACGAACATGAATTAGGGGGTTTCCGCGTGTTAATTCACGGACATCGGCTGCGCTCGGGAAGGTGAGGGGGGGGGCAGTCAGAGACGGGAGAGTTCGGGAACACTAGAGAAGATGCTGCTATGTTCTCGTGAGAGGACCACGTCGATAGGATGCGGGGTGAGGGTACGGTGGTGGAGCAGCAGCAGCAGCAGCAGCAGCGGATGACTCACCGTAGCATTCACCGTCGGCCCTCATCACGAAACCCATGTCGCAGCTGCAGTAGAAGGACCCGGGTATGTTGAAGCAGTCACCTAGCTCCGGGTCGCACGGGTTACGTCCGGTGTCCGGCCGGCACTCGTCAATGTCTGCCCCGCGGCAAGAGAGAGAAGCACACGTCAATATTCATACTACGTGTGAAGGGGTGCGTGTTCCGGTTAGAATAGCGGTTATTGTTAGGGTCGGAATTAGGGATAAGTTAAAGTTTAGGGTGGCGTTGTGGTTTGGGTTAGGTTTAATGTTGCCTTTAGGGTAAGATTTAAGGTTAACGTTAGGGTTAGGGTTAGGTTTGCGATTGTGGTCAAGCTTTAGGTTGGGTTAAGGTTAGAGTTAGAGTTAGGGTTATGGTAGGGTTAAAGTTAGGGTTGGGGCTAGGAGTGTTAGGGTTAGAATAGGCCTTGCGTTAGGCTTAGGGTAGAGTTGGGGTTAAGTTTAACCCGCGCTAAATCCCGATAAAATATACACCTTTTTTATTTATCCGAAGGTACGAACTGTATAAATCATACAGGTAAGAATATGCAGGTAAGAATTGTATATTATCGTACACTCACCTGTGCAGGTGACGCCGTCTCCGACGAATCCTGGCAGACAGACGCAGTAGTAGTTCGCAGGCACGTTGACACAGACGGCAAATGAATCGCACGGACTGCTGACGCACTCATTATCGTCTGTCAACAACGGTGACGTCACATCGTTACAAGACAATCACGGAACGGCATGATTAGATATTTGGTTTTAATGAAATTGTTGTTATAGGAAACGATGTTAAAAATCTTTAGTATCTAAACAGTTTATCAAATTTTGCTAGCGGTCGTCTAAAAAAATAGGTTTAACTGTTCAACCTTTTACGCTGCAGTTTTGTCCGGCCCATCCGTTGTCGCAGAAGCACTGGCCAGGCGTAAGACAAGCTCCCTCGTCGCACTCCGGCTTGCATTTTTCGTCTGCAAATTTTCACGCGGCAAAGGGCAGCGTTAGCTGTTTCGAAGCAGACGATATGCATCCAATCCCAGCAGTTATTCGTAGGTAAGGTTGTTAAGGTAAGGTAAGGTAGGTAAGGTTGTTAAGGTAAGGTAAGGTAGGTAAAGTTGTTAAGGTAAGGTAAGGTAAGGTAGGTAAGGTTGTTAAGGTAAGGTAAGGTAGGTAAGGTAAGGTAAGGTAGGTAAGGTTGTTAAGGTAAGGTAAGGTAAGGTAGGTAAGGTTGTTAAGGTAAGGTAAGGTAGGTAAGGTAAGGTAAGGTAGGTAAGGTTGTTAAGGTAAGGTAAGGTAAGGTAGGGA